CGTCCCGGGCTGCAGGCGAGGTACGGGAGATGCTCCTGGGGATGTTAATGTGCACGGAAAGCTTGTCCTGCTTCCCCCGCTGCCGCCTCTGCATCCTCTAGTGATTCTGGGCCAAAACACTTGTTCCTTGAAGTGCACTGTCTCCCAGGCATCTTAATGTGTCCACCAGTTTCTGTAAAACACCTTTCCATAGTGGATCTTCGGGGCCCAAAGGCCATTTTGTTACCCCAAACCAAATCACAAGAGACAGTGAATTTAATCTGGAAACCTCTGCACCAGGCCCTTGTTTCTCCTTGAACTGGGACTGCTCTTACAGAGAGGTCCACCCATGTTGGAAGAAGGAGTTCCATATCTTACAAACTGCAGGCAAATTTCTGTGCATTTATTAAGATCTGGTTAGCTGGAGGAACAGATGTGATGACGACTGCAGGAAATGTCAGCGTGGGTGAGATACAAGTCGTTAAGGACAGACATTAAAGCCTGAGATATGTGGCTTTAAAGAGAAACATTAGAGCCTTACTTGTTAATCTAGAAGTATAACTTCCTTCAGGACAGAGCTGAAGGGGAAGGCAGAATAAATACACATAGGAGATGATAGCTGGAGTAGAGGAGATACTAAAGAAAACTGGGTAATGGATAAGGTGTATAATGAGATTCCCTTGCAGGTGGAGGTTGGATTGTAGGCATTTTCAGTTGAGCCTTTTTGTTGTTCTGTGTTGAATACAGTATCACTAGATCTAACAGAGATTTTTCCTGGGACTTCTAGTCATATCAAAACATAACATAAAATAATCATTAATCACAATAAAACAACTTCTATTTTCTTTTTTCCATAAAAATTAAGAACTGTCCACCTTGACATTTTGTTTGTAAACCTGGAATCTATGTGCTGGGGTTTCTAATCCGATTTTGTATGTTACAGATCTATATAGTAGTGGAAAAACCTTAGCAAGTATATGTCAGGTTATCTCCATGGTCTCCAGGGAAACTAGATACATTTACATCATATCTCAGGATCTGGCCCTTTTTTTGCTGTTTTGTTATAACCAGATTTATTTCTTTTTGCTGTATCTATTAACCACAGTGAAAAGAATATACATGATGTTTGCCACACTGCAGGTACAAGGCATTTGCAGGTAGCCATTTTATCACACAAGTCCTTAACTGTATTTGTTCACTTGCCTGGGTTTATAACCTGCTTTGTGGCAGAATCCTGTAAAGAGCTGACCCACAACCAGACCCACTTGGATGTCGAGGCTGGGGTTTCTGTTTTGGTGGTTGCTGGTGTCTGAGTCAGAGCTGTCATTCCCTTATTAGTGGTGAAGTTGCAGCAAACCCCTTCATTATGGGAATGTGTGTTTTCCACTTGAAATGCAGTTTGGGCTGCAAGCAACAAGCCTCGGGCAGTCTGTTCTCTCCCTGGTGTGTGTGGGTAGGAGAGCAGCAGTGAATTGGCAGCTTGAAGCTGAGCCTGTGCTGCACTGGGAATGTGGAATCATCTTTGTCCAACTTGGTGGTTTGGTTGTTGCTTTTAAATAGCTACTTAATGATGTTTTGGGCTGGAAGCTCCTGTGGCCATGCAGTTCACTCTCAAATTCTTCTTCCTTTCTCTATGTATATAATATTGTCCCCATTCTCTCTGATGCTGAAAGGAGGCAGCCAAAATAGGTAGAACAAGTGGGAATTTCTCAATTTGGGAATTCTCTGCTAACATACTTGTATGGCATGACTTGAGGTCTTTCCCTGTCACTTTTAAACTGAGCTTGTAAAACTTCAGCATTTATAGGATCTGAATCTTTAAAAGTCTGAGTCTAAAGAATAATACAGTGTAACAGCCTTGCAGATAATTGGATTACTGGGACGAAATAGAGACTTTAGTTCAACAACAACTCTTGGAAGAGTCCAAGTATCATAATTACATGTTTTATGTGCATGTGTTTTATGGAAGCTTAAACAACTAATGAAGTAACTACACAAGAGTGAGGCAAGTCTTTCTGCCAGAAAAATATGAAAGCAAAAAAATCAGTTCCAGAAAGAAAAACAGTTCAAAACTTAGCAAACCTTTGATGGTGGTGAGCAAAAGTGTATCCTACCCAGCAGCTGTGATTTCTGACACCAGCAAAGGCAGCTGTAGCCCTTTCCCTCAGCCTGGGTTTTCCATTAAATATGTGGCACATAATTAATAGCCCAAGGAGGAGCTTGTCAAAGCAGTTTGTACACACAGTATTAAGAGCAAGCCACTCCTGGCTGAACCTCATGCCAGGACTGTTCACACTCCTAAGGATTTTTCTCGGTGTTTTTCAAATTATGATACTTCTAATAAGCTGGGTGGCCTTTTGAGTGTTAAGAAACCCGTGTATCATTAATCTCAGTATTACCTGTTGTTTGCAGGGATGTGGTAGATGCAGTCCATGGGAGAAATAATTATGGCCATGCTCAGGACTTGGTCAGGCACCTGGCAGGACCTGAAGGGACATGTGCACTGAGCTGGTGGGGTTTGTTCTGCAGATGGACAGACAGGAGTAATGGCTTTTCTCTGCAAAAAGATACAGAACATGCACTGTGTAAGGTGGGTGACATCAAGTTATGATCTCCAGAGATGAGTTTCTGCCCTCAGAGGGAAGCATGTGCCTGCACTTTTCTCTCCTGTCAGGCTGTCAGGAGCCACAAGAGAAGACTCAGAGCTGGTGAGGAGTAGTGTCCTATGACAGAACTTCAGGGGTCTTTTCTGGCATTTCTGAAGAAAATTCCCCTGTGGCTCAAGATGTACCTCTATGCACTAGGAAAGATCATGAACATTGGAATAAATAATGCTGGATTCTTAAATCTATATGAGAACAGGGCACATATTGATGCTGCTGCTTCTAGTAAGGCTGTTGGTAACCTCCAGCTAGCAATACCTGTCTGCAGCACTGAAGAGTCCTGGGGTTCTTGTATTTCTAAAGCCTGTTCCAACAAAAAAATTACTTGTTACAGTGTGTATTGAGTTCACTGTGCCAACAGAACAAATATACCAAGTTTGCAAGTAATCACATTATTTATTTACAACAAGCTTAGCAGGACAATACTTTAAATAACACAAACAACTACAATGCTTTGTTTGAAACAGAGAAATTGTTTAATCCAGGAATTATTGCCAGTATCATTAGTATCACATGTCTGATGTACAGAAATATTTATGGCAAAGGTTTTTTATTGTAGGGTCATTCTGCGTATGAAAAGTTCTTTCTCAAATTATGTACAATTCCTGGTATTTAATATGTGAGAATAAAAGTACAAAGTGGGAAACAGAAGACAATCCAGACAGACATGGAGCACAGAGATAAAAGAAATATTTTAGTGAATCATCTTCTCAAAGTGCCTTTTCTTCCGTAATTAAAATCTGAGTTCTGTCTGCACACGACAGAGCTATCAGCCGTGTTATGGACTCCTTCTCCATGCCAGACTTAGTTACTTCTGACAGGGTCAGAGCCAGAGTCAAGCTTAAGCTGAGAAGTAGGGAAATACAGCCTTCCAACCACTCCTGTTTTCCTGACAAACTGGTTGAGGAAAAATATAGTGCTCTGGGTTTTTAAATCATAACCTTTTGATATTCTCATTGAAGCCTCTAAAGCATTATCCTAAAAGAACAGCACTGAATTCACTTTGCTAAATAAAAGCACTCAAGTCATGTTATTCTGCCTTCCTGCTTCACAAACAGTGACATTTCTATAGCATTACGGAACTTCTTTCTCCTGTGAATTGTCTTGCAAATTCTTTTGATTAAAATACATGCCTGGGTACTTCAGCTGTGGCTGCACAAACCTTAGTTTTCCCAAATAATGCTGAGAATGTGTTTGGGTTCCAGGCTTTCACTAAGAGCCCTGCAGAAAAGTCTCTTGTTCTCCTACCGTTGGTAAAGGGATGTTACCTGAATGAAGACAAAAAGAAACAGTGTGAGAGCAGCTGTAGGACACACTCTGGGTAGTGCAGTTTAGTTTCTCCAGTTTATTCCTATGCACATACATGCAGGTTAAATTTCCAGAGCAAGCAAGGAACACAAGTCCTGTGACTTCAGAGCAAGGTCAGCTTCTGCATTTTTGGAAAACCAAACTGCAGTGTGTTTTCTTCAGATGGCTTCAGTTACTTAAGTACTTCCTTATTACCTTATTGTTAGTATTTCTGACAGTGAATGCAGCTGTGGCAAGTTACATTTCTCAGGTTAACTTGAGTAAAATTAAGAGGTTTTTATAAGCAAGACAATACCTGGTGGGGCTACAAAATATTCCTCTACTTTCTCTCTGGCATTTTTCAGCAGCTCTTTTGTGCAGTTGCCTTCTGTAACATCATCTTCTCTGAGGTACAGGCACCTGAAGAGCAAAGATTACTAGTGTGTTTTTAAGCTGTTCTATGAAGTGTGGCTTATCCCTAAGCCAGGTTTTGGTCTTAAGTGGTGACACTAGTCCTGGAATATTCTGAAGTGACCGAGGCTGCCAGTGACAGGTATTTGGGGAGCAATGTGTGCAGATCACTTGTGGCAAGGAAGATGCTCCAAGGAATTGAAGTGCACCCTTGCTGTGCTTACAGACAGAGCTCAGGGCTGCCAACAACATCTTCCTTCTGCACAAAACCACGGAAGACTTTTTAGGAAAGGGACTGAATGGATGATTCCCAAGGAAAAACAAACAAACAAAACAACAGAGTGACAGAAGGAAGTATTTGTATGTATTAGCAGGTAAAAGGAGGCTGCTGCGATTCATCACCTGTCCTCCAGGACCGAATCCATCGGTTCCACACCGTCGGTGTTCACTTCACGAAGCCGGTCAGCAAACCGGATCGCCTTCCGCAGCTCCACGCCCTCGGCATCGCGGAAATCAACCAAGGCCAGGTGCTCCAGGTGCTCCAGCACCTCCACCGTCACCTTCTGCTGTTCGGAGGGACAAATACGGACAAAACCGGCCAAGATAAGCGAGTTTAATACAGCGCTGCTTGTCTTTTTTAAACCAAAAACTGGTCACATGGCAAACCCCGAGTGCTGGGACACGCTGATTCCTTGTAAAATTAACTTTAATCATGTCCTATTTTCTCCTCCTCCTGACCTCCTGCCCAGGGAAGAGCACACCGGAGCTGGCGGTCGTTCCGGTAACTCCGCCCGAGCGAGAGGGGCCCGGGAGAGAAGGCGGAGCCGTGTCCCGGGGCTGCGCG